ATAATTAGATATTTATCGATATATATCTATTACCGGTATATATCGATTTTTGGTAATATATCGTTATATATTCTAAATTATCGATAAATGCCGTTTTTATCTTATTGATATATTTCGATTTTTTGCTATACATCGATATATATCTATATAAAAAATTTTCTGATGGGTAACTAAAACAGATTAGGAAAATACTTTAGGTATATATGTTGGGGAAATATAGTAAAGTTGCATCGGTTCTAAAAAAGACCAGTCCTGAACTGGACTGATAAGAACTATGGAACTGTTAAAGGACTGGTCCGGACCAGTCTTTGTAAACATAACAGTAATCTTCATATCACCCAATCAAATTTCTTGATCAGGTATAACATAGATCATATGATGTTTGTTTATATCCAATGATTTGTAATTACGTTATTTTTGACTAATAAGATCTTATGTATTTAGAGATGATATAATTATAGAAGGACTGTTTTGGGACCAATAACTAGACCAGACCAGATATAAGTTACTATTTAATCAGTCCATTAGAGACTAGGACGGACTGATGCATCCCTAGCTTTATATTAAAGATATAAAATTTAAGTTTAGTATACAATTTTTACAATTTGTGCCTGGCACAGGCTATAATAGTGTTATTATAGATTTCTTTCTTTTTTGCCTTTTTTTTCTTCTTTTATTTGTTTTTTGCTATTCGTTTTCTTTTGCTTTGGCACTTTTTACTTTTCTCTTTTTTGTTTTTACTTTTTTTTTATTTTAGTATTAGTATTTTTTTTCATAAGTCATTTGGAGACTATGAATCCTTCTGCTTGAAAAGCTAGGAGAAGAAGAAGGTGATCTTGATAGGCCATAAATCTATTCGAGAAAGTATCAAAACATCTAGTTACAAGCTGGTCGATATAGAAATAAACTTTACTATAGCATATTAAACATGGGCAATTGGACACCTTTGGTGTTGCAAAGAGTTGGGTTAGTGAACACTTAAAGAAATTAGGTAGACTTCGGTCATTATATTATACTTCCTATGAGATTGTATATTATACTAATAAAGTGTTAGCAAGATTTTGAATTTATTGAAAAAAATACAATACTGTATAGGTGATTGTTTGCTAATTAGTAATACTGAAAATAAATGCTACTACTAAGTTGTTAACAAATTAGTAAGTCTGCATACACTTACAAAGCAAATTTTTGTATAGCAGTATAATTTAAAGTAAGTATAGTTATTTTAAATAAAAATTTTATATAATACAGTAAATTTTACAATTATATTTGTAAAATTAGTAAAAATATACTTAATTGTTAGCAGATTAGGGTCTCATAGCCTAGTGGTCTAAACTCCTAACCCTCCACAGACAAGGTCAACAGTTCGATTACAGCTAGTGGTAATTAATTTAATTAATTATCTCTATAACCTTCGGAAGCTTTCAAATGCGAAACTCTGTAGCGGTAAGACCATGTGATGTATATATTTGGCCAATAAAGAATTCTTGGAAGGAGCCCCGAGCTATGAAAAAGACTAGGCACTGTGTGTGATATGGGTCACAGAGGATATTACTGCAGAAGGCTGTGCGTGTGAATCCATGATTGGCAAGGTAGCACCAACAACTCTAAGGCGGCATTGGGATCTTGATTGGGAGAATAGCTATATGCGTATATCCAGAAGTGGTGAGAGAAGCAGTGAACATAGTAAGGGGTTGTGATAAGAGGATAGCTTTACCAAATATAGAACACCTCTGGTGCAAAGAAACAAGGAAAACCGGCTAAAAGAAACCCTGAAAAGTATGGAAACAAGCGATTTGGTGGTACAAAAATAAAGACAGGCTAGGAAGTAATAGTTGCACAACCTATATAGAAGTCTATGACGAAATATGGCAAAAGCGCGGGTCCTGGATCACTGGCTTGTGACAGTGATTAAATGAAATACATAACTCCCATCCTAAGGATCTAGACTTCTGTAATACTATACTAATAGGAAGTACTATAAAAGGATCAATAGCCTAATTTGGTAGTGTACGACACAAATATCTGGATCGACATGAAATATTATCCTAGTTTGGCAACTTAACTGTTTGAGATATGGCTAGGCCTATAAAGTAACTCCTCTAGGGATACCAAACTGGAAGCACGAAGAGTGCCCACTTGAAGGACACCAATTTGGAAGTAATACAAGTACCAAATTAGGAGTAATGTAATAAGTGATGAGAGATGGAAGTTGGTTGGTGGATGTTGTATAGTAGTATATAAGCGGGATATATATAATAAAAATAGGTTTGAGAACCATCTGGTGATTTAGTAATTGGTCTGATTGCAGGGCGGTTATTAAGAAGATAAAATCTCATATAGCAGGTCACACATAGGTACTAAGTTAGTAACTGGGTGAGCCAATATCTCATAATACATTAGAGTGTTGTAATTGTATATATGACATTTGTAACCAAATACCTTAGTGTACTAATAAACGGTATTGGCAAGACTGCCGAATTAAAAAAAAAAATACTTAATTGTTAGCAAAAATTATTTACTAAAAAATTTGAAAGTGATAAAACTCAAAAGAGCAAACCACAAAATTTTTACAACTCTTCCCGATGATTATTTAAACCAAAAATCTGACTAAATAAAAAAACAAAATTTTTGTTAGAGAGACGTGGCTATAAAGCAGTTTGTCTAGAGGTTAACGTAACTGCTAGCGGGACTCCTCTATTAGTTGACATTTGGCATGCAAGCCAAGAGCATTATTATACAAGATAACTGGCAGGTGGTGCCCTTGTATGAAAAATCTTGGTGGTGTTTGGGGTCAGCCCCATTTCCGTTGACAAAGCTATCTAGCTGTTACTTCAAAGAAGAACACAGAGGAAACAACAAATCTTGCATTTTTTTGAAGCTGCACTCCTTTACTTAGTTAAGTAGTACCTTTTTTTACCTCCTCTCATTTTTTTCGTCGGTCTTCCAAAATTTTTGAAAAAAGTGGGGATTTGGCTTACCTCCTCCAAAAGATCAGCATTGTTTTCATTCCAAATTCAGACGGACTTAGTAGAATGCAACTATGTGACGTGTTTATTTATAGATACGGCACTACCTAGTGTCTGAAATTCAATTTTTAAATTAGTTGCGGACTGCAACCAATTAAAAAAAATGACTTGCGGATTAAAAAATTTATAAAAATTTAGTTGCGCACATGACCATTTAGTCGAAATTTATAGGTAAATTTATATGCGGAATCTGCATGTGCACTTCAGATTTTGGTTGCGGGAATTTAAAATTTTGTTGCGGTCCACAGACTCCGCAACCCAATTTCAGACACTGGCGCTACCTCATGGAAGTCAGATCGGGACCCAGTTAATGAGATATCTGAAGTTGGTCAGTTAGTCAGAAAAGAAAATATAAGTTAAGGCAAAGCTTTACAATAGAGATATACAACCGTTGCATTTGTTATATAATTTTTTAGCCTTGCACAGGTTATAATAGTGCATTTTGGTTATGTAGAGAGGTGAAATCCTTCTCGAATTGTTATCTTTTTTCTATAAAATGTTTTTATTTTTTCTCATTTTTTTTTTTGGGGGTTTTTTATTTTTATACTTTGTTCATTTCCTCTATTCCTCCTTTTATATCTCCTTTTTAGTCATAGGTCATTTTCTTTTTTTATAGATTTTTTGATAAGATAATTCTAGTTTGTCCGCAAACTGGTGCAACGAGTTGCATTTAGGGCCATAAGGTAACCAAGTGATGTTGGGCTTTGAGTTCTATAAATTAAATATATATAGCTCTTATACACATTTTAATAAAAAGCAAGCCACGGCAAAACCTGTGAAGATTAAAAAAAAATAAAAAAAATATAAAAAAATATATAAAAAAAAAAGAGCAAACCATTAGTATTAAGCAACTAAAAGAATTACAGTATTTAAACAAAAAAATTCTTTTGAAAAACAATTAATTCTTACTTGCTATATATTAAATAGCTACATGAAATTGTTAACCACATAATCAGTGAAGTAATTTGGGTTCGTCCAATGGGAAGTTGGGAAAAATTAGTATTTGGCTATGTACTGTACATATATAAATTTACCAAAACAGATTAGGGTTACTACATTACATCAGATCTTTTGATTTTATTACTCCAATCGGCTTAGTAATCAAAGAACAAATAGACTACAATTTGTTATATAAAGACATTCTGTGGATGTTTTATAGTATAGGTGGGCAATATAAAAAATAAACTCCGCTACTAATTAGTAATATTAATAAATATTTAGTGGAGTTGCTGAGTTTGCGGAGTCTGCCCAACTATTCTATAGAACATCACATTCTGTTTGACTAGTGAAAAAATTTTTTTATCACACGCTGATAATAGATGCTACACAAAAAATGCGCGGCAGATTCTCAATTTTAATTGGCCAAGAGCGACGATCAAAAAATTAGACCGGAATTACTCATAATTTTACTAACGAAATCGCAGCCGCCTATTAAGTGAAAATTGTTTCTGGGCCAATTTTACTATAATGTGGGCTTATTTTTTAAAAATTTCCATTTTTGTAATGAAAAAATTAAAAAGTTAATTCCAGCCGGAATTAGTAAACAATTATGTAATGCAGGCCAAAATTTTAAAGATCCTCGGCCATTAGCCAATAATAGCGCTCTGCAATGAGTACATAAAAATTTTTCCTATATAGAAGCTAACATTTCCTAATTTATAAATTGATCAAAGAAACAATTTTCCTATTAAGGCACAAAGCTCAACTGATTTTAACTTAGTGCTAACCAAAAATTTTGTAATCATGAATATTTTAACCAGGATCCTACAAGCTGGAGCATTTTCGACTTTCTAAATGAGAGCGATGAGGAACCGTTTAGTCTAAAAATATATTGTTATATAAAAAGCCTTGAAGGATTGCTGATATAGAACAAGGTGGCAGGCAAAATAGCACAAGAGTCCTTCTTGATAGATACAAAGTGGCAAGTAAAAATCTTTTATATCTTATTTAATAAAAGAAAAAGTGGCGTAAATGAGGCTTTCTGGGCCGCCGGTCATTCAAGACTTTTTGCTGAGTCACGAAACTGGTGTTGGCGCACAGTTGACTTATCGTTATCTAATGCAAAAGGCTTCTTGCCGATCCAGCACTGGGCCTACTAAAACACAGGTGGCTTTCTCAGCTGCGATGTGTTTTGGTTGGATGAGAAATTGATGTTGAATGGGAAGAATATTAATTTCAAGTCTCCATGCTAGAGCCCCCAAACTGATCACAAAAAAGCAAAAGAATGGAAGAATAAATACTCGTGCAGGCAGGTAAACATCCACAAAAATATAATCGGAAATGGAAATGTGATCGGCATGGTTGGGAATGTCAGCAATTCCAAAGTTTTATTGTCTTTGAAGAAAAGGGATCAGGAAGGAAGGTATATATTTTTTTGTATATTTATTGTGTTATGATTTTATTCCTAATGAGGATTTTATCTTTAGGATGATGGCAAAGTTCTAAAATGAACGAAAACCATCGATAGAGCAGAAAACATAGACGATGGTGAGGCAGATCCAAATTATAATGAGGACGATTATAGTAACTGCGATATAGATCCAAATATTGAGTTATCAGGAACAGATACCGGTCCAAAGTCACTTAAAGTACCCTGATAAAGACAGTCCAGATAACTTTTGGGTGTTGCCTTCCGGAAAATCTATTGACATAATAATTTGTGCCCCTAAAAATCTATACAAATCACAGTAAGTTTTATATATTTATTTCTTTTCTTCATGTCTTTTGATCTAACAAATTAGCCCTTGTAATTTGTACAATTGTATGTAGCCCGTCGTGTTTAGGAATCATACGCATTGGGCAAAAGGATTGGGATTATTTAAATTCAAGTGTCGATTATCCGCATTATGATTTATCAACTGAGATCAAAGATCTTTTCATAGTACTATTAGATACCGTAAGTACAAATTGTCTTTTAATGAAAATGTTATTTATATATATTTGATTTTTTTTTTTATTAATCAATAACAGAATTCGTTAAATAAGTATAAAAAGTGTCTTTATAATGTCACATTTTACCGTGAAAATGATATAGAAATGATATTTGTAATAGATGTCTTATTATGGTAGTAAGTATAATGGTTTTGTAGGAATATTGTTTTTTTACAATGTGTTTCTTAATTTTTTTTAATTTTGAAGTGCAAAAAACGTATTCAACACTACATCGGCTTTCCATAGTATAAATAAGAATGAAGCATTGTTGGGATCGCTTATGATTCATCCAGTACTACAATACCTTGTAAACGCAACTAAGCATGTTATATACGTGCCGTATGTTTTTGATTCTAATATCAAATTAATACTTTCATTCATATAATATTAAAAATACACGCTTTTTTTTCAAAAAATAGAGGTGAGATTTATCTTAAAGCTAGTGCTGATGAGCCTTTAGGCATGAAAGTCGATGGTTCTTTCCAGTTCCCTGATGAGAGAGGACTCGAGATTGGCATGGTTGAATTATCTGGTGGCTATTTAACCAAGGGTCTGCCTCACTATTTCTGTAATATAGATATGTAGATCGGTTAATGATATGTTATTCGTGTTGGAATATAATCGACATTTCTGATTTAAAAATTTTCTTATTCCGTATTACTCTAGCTATTGTGATTGGTTAATGATATTTATTTGTGTTGGAATATAATCGACATTCTGATTTAAAAATTTTCTTATTCCGTATTACTCACCGGCTATTGTAATGTAATATAGTGTATTGTATTGTATGTGGATTGATTAATGATGTTATTTGTGTTGGAAATCAATCGATTTAAAAAGTTTCTTATTCTGTATTACTTACGGGCTATTGTATTGTATGTGGATTGGTTGATGATATTTTATTTGTGTTGGAATACAATCGACATTTCTGATTTAAAAATTTCAGGCAATTACTTACAGACTGGTGTGAGTATATAAATTATATATGTCTTTTTAATATGCCAATTTTATGAGTGCATTATACTTACATTCCGGCAACTAATCTGTAAGCTTCTTTTGCCCATGTATCATCTAGTTTAATTTTTAGTAAGTTTTTCAAGTCGGCAATCGGTTCTTCATACCTTCCATCATATAATTAATTCCCCTCGATATCTTAGTGCTATTTCTAAGACAGAGATGTCAATATTTTTAAATTCTAACAATTTCTTTAAGTTGGTAATTTCTTCTTCTTCTTCCTCCTCCTCTTCCTCGTCATCTTCTTCCCCGTCCTTTTCTCCTCCTTCCTCTTCCCCCTTTTCTCCTTCTTTTAGAAATCCAATTAATCCAGTTAAATCTTCACATGCTTCTTTGTATCTGCCTGTAATTAAGTAAGCTTTTCCTCGAGATGTTAGTGCAAATGTATCATTTGGTTTATTTTTTAATTTGTCTACATATTGATCAAAGGTTTTAGAATTGATCCAGCATGCTTCCCATAATTCTTTACCAATATCATCATTAGTCATTGCTATCCATAAAGAGATATTATCGTTATTGAACATTTTAAGTATACATCAAAATTTAATGTTAAATAAAATTTACTTAAATATTTAAACTTTTTATGTCCAAAATTCGCGTTTTGTGATCTTAGTCCAATGCAAGGATACAAATTATTTTTTAAATCATCTAAATCATTAGTTAGATAACATGCAATTCCTTGAAATATACTTAAATATCAGATTCCTATTAATTAAATTATTAAGATATATTAAAAATAATTTGAATTTACCTAGATTTATACCATTTTTAGTATAAAATGTCATCTTATCGTCATTTCTAAAATTTAAATAGCATCAAATTGTAGTATATGTTGGTCCATATAGCTTGCCACTTCTGGAACAAAAAAAATACCCATCGTCACCATGGTAAGCACACCCCCATGTTTTATTTTCCTTATTTTCTTTATCTTCGACATATTCTTGTCCTAATAGATATTATAACATAGCATTAATACGTAATACTGTAATAAAAAATAAATAAAAAAATAGTCTGTTATTGAATCGCTTATGTTACTTTGTTTTGTGTAGTATTCTACTCCAATCATTCTATTAATAAATAGAATTAAAATAATGCTCCAATACATAAAATAATTATTTAATATTACCCATTTTCCCTTCATTTATAATTTCAATTTCAAAGTAAAATAATCCGCATTGTGATGGAATTGGATTATTAGTTCGAATTACAATAGCTTTATAATCATAAGGATCTTTAAAAAAAAATTTATTTAATATATTTCTGAGAAACTAAAATTTATTGCACATATTACCCGTATAATTCAATTTAAGCCCACTCGAATCTATGCTAATAAACTGTGATTTGTCATCAATATTCCACGCAGTTGGTAAAACAAGACCATTGAACAAAGTAGTCTCTCCCATTACATCAAATTTTTATTCAGATCTTTTATCTAGCAAAATATAAGTCTAGTTTATGTAACAGTACGTATACTGTACTTCATATATGTTACCCCATTTTTAGAGTAGTGATACGTAGTAAAGGTGAATAACAAAACTTTTTATTGTTATGTCTGTGTGTAAAATTTTTTTGGCAACTTCTTAATAAAATTATTAAAAGAGCAGCATATCAAATATAGATATTATACATACGTACCAATTATTGTCGCGAATCATAATGAAATCGGATTAAGGGTATTATTAAACCTCTAAAACCCACTTATACTTGTTTATTATAAACTCTACTTTAAAGCTAACCTCTAACCCTAACCTAAAAAATGCTCCTCAAAAATTTTGATTTTTCGTGGCTTGTCTATTTTTTCACATTTTATAATATTCCATTTTAATTAGATTTCATTTTAATCCGTCACATTTAATGATAATTCCGAACATGCCGGAAACTACGAAATATCTTTGTATACGATACCTCCTGTTCATTAGTAAAGATTTGATTCTGCTTTTGTTGCAATTTCGTGACTCTGTCTTTAAGCTCAGCTCTCGGCAATAAGTTTCTTCAATCTTGTGTTCTCGGCTTTGACTTCAGCATTTTCTTTTTAAATCTTGTGTTCTCGACTTTAACTTCAGCATTTTCTTCTTCAATCTTGTGCTATCGGCTTTGACTTCAGCATTCTCCTTTCCAAGTTCATCATTTGAAGAACGAGTTTAAGATCAACTCTTTTAATGAATCAATTGTGGATTGCGTACTTGTCATTAGTGCTTCTATCCTAAATCCGACAATCTGGATCGATCCTTTAATATAGATAAATTCAGACATCCAATTCAGAGATTTTTTACTCTAATTGGTCAAAGAGCTTAAATTACGGATCTAAGGTGTGTTCAAAAGCTAGTTTTATATATAATCTAATGAGGATCCAATCCGGATGGCCTGTCAAAAATAGGATCGAAGCACTACTTGCCATTGTTTTATATAAAACATAACTACGTTCTAAAATTTAATCACATAAAAAAAATCTTTGTGTGAAAAGTCATATTAACACGCTTTCTTTATTGATTGTAATAAAAAATTGAAAAAATCATTGTTTCTGTAATATTGTAAGTTTTTTGGTTTATCTAAATTATCTATACTGATACTATTATGTCTCAATATTACTGTAATCCCGTTTAATTTATTATTGATACTCCGAATAAAATCAAATGGTTATCAGTTATACCTACATGAAGCATATAGTGACAAAAGTGAATTAAAAACTTCACCAATTTATTGTAAGTGAATTTACATCGGTTATTCGTTATCTGGCCAACCTGAACAAAAATCCGCAAAAGTTTATGTTGCAATGCTAAGAAATTTCTTGGAAATCTGTACAAAAGGAGGGTTATTGGTTTGCAAACTCGGAAGTTTATTCATTGGCACAGCCGAAATATTCATACCTTAATTGTGTTCGGAACTTCTACCAAAATTATTTCTGTTTAGAGTTAAACAGGTAGATGGATGAATGATATAGAGTAGGCCATTATTTTACTTTACAATGTTAATGAGACTAGGACCCCTCTTAGCTCCTCCTCCATGTTCTATCTATATAGGCCATTCTTTACATGCTACGAAGAGGCACTTCCAAAGGAAGCTTGTAAATTTTAGAAAAGGACCAAGTTTTTTTAAAAAATAAAACTTTTTTCCTGGTGGCCGAGTCACTTTTACTATTTATATTCATGAGAAACGAATAATTTTATTTATATGGCCTTTCCGTTAAATTGTAGTAGATGATGAAATATAAAGCTCCGGATTTGTTTCCAAGTGAAATCGTCTGCTGATTGGTTGATTTGTTTAATATAATAATACAGTAATAAAAAGTGATTGAAGATAAAATTTTTTTATAACATCATGGTACGAAAAGTCTCATGTTTTTCAGTAAGTTCTCAGCTTTAATGATCCTAAAATAGTTTTCCTGATACTAAAATAGGTAGAACTTATATTAGTGACAATGCAAAAGGGTTAATTGCACAAAAATACGGGACTATGTGCATTATGTATATGTATATGATAATGACAAGTGAAGATTCATCGGCAATAATAATTTAATAACAGATAATACTGTAAATCGTAAATATCGTCCGTTTTGATCAACACATCATGTTTTGATCATCATATGTGGCAAAATTCCAGTATCATCTGATAATGATCGTCCGCGACAATTTGAAACGCGTTTGATAAAAATATTGACTACAGTAATTTTTATCTTTAGCTCATGGCAGAAAAAATAGATGCATGAATATTTTACTCAAAGCCCTTAAAATAGAATATTTCTAGTTCCCGGAATGAAAGCAATGACTTAAAAACATTTTCCGATAAGATTGGTTATTACCTCGCTTCTCTCAAGACCATTATTGAAAATGAGAATTCGTAGTTGATTCATCGGTTAATATTATCCCCCCACTGAAGTCTCTCTTTGATAAAGATCAACTCTTGCCAATTACTTGATTTATGTCGACCAATAAAATTGGTCTAATTGTGAAAAATATGAAAAGGCGTTGCAATTGTGCAATTTGTGTAATCAATACAAACAGGCAAGTTCAAGAATGTTTTTGTTTAAAATAAAGATAAGAAATGGTGGCGTGGTAGAGATCTTCAAGGTCAAGTCTCTAAACCGAGTCACTAAGCTAGTTCTAGGGCACAGATGATCTCTAAGATTATCTGATGTTCAAGTCTCTAAGATGGTTTTACCACAAATCCCGAAAGACGGATCCTGAAAGAACTTAATACCGACAAAGTTGGCCAACATTAGTGATAGTGCCAGCCAATTTAGTCGGTATTATATTCTTTGGTTTCGGGATTTTGTGGTAGAGCCCTCTAAGACGACTTAGTACTAGGTTAATGCGTAGCATTGTGTGTCCGGAGCACATGATAATTATCATATTGCACAAACGCGTGATGTGCTTTTGTTACACTAAAGTACAAATATAGACACGCGTGCGGGCAGACATGAATTTTCAAATTTACATTTTAGATGCACCAGTAATGAATTAATCAAGAACGTAACCTTTGTATCACCATGACTAAACACCGCTACGCTCCAGCATAGCAGAAGTTCGTTTTGATTGGTTGTTAATATACCCCGGAAAAAATGTCGATCATACCCCAGATATAATCCCGGACAAAATTTTATAACTCGCGAACTTTTAAAAAACTAGTCAATACACTCTAAAGACGTATTATAAATTTACAATATACTAATTCAATTTTGCATTAACAACTTTAATTTGGATTTTACAAGGGTTTTGTTATTTTTTTCGCAATAAATACATATAAATGTCTACTAAATAACGCGTACACTACCATTACTATCACTTATTGTATGATAAACGTCATATTCACAAAGTATACTTGTATCTAAATAAATTATAATCAAAAAAATATTAAAATATGGTTTAGAATAATAGTTCAACATAATATAAAAAACACAAACAAACTAGTTGAAGCAAATCTTTTAATTTCAACTCACCAATCGTTTAGACCGCCGGGCCACCTTCCGACCTTTCAAAATATTCACCTCTCATCTAGTTTTTGGAACTATTGCATCTCAGGTTAAAAAACAATAAGTTTAAAGGTAAACTCAAGTTGGTTGTTACATTTTTGTATTACAAAAAAAAAAAGTTTCACATGACACGACGATTTTTACTATTAAAAAATTATAAAAAAAAGATCGTCGCCAATCATATTTATCCTAATAACAGCCAATCAAAACAAACTTCCGCTATGCTCGGCATACATACATAGTCTTAGATTTACAATCCAAATGAAATGCTCCGGAAGGTGTGCAATGGTAAGTACTTATGTTCTTATTTTTAATAATTTCACCAAATGCAGTATTAATTTTATACTACGAATGATTTACACGTATTATGTATTGGAGATAAAATTCTGTGCCGATCTTAATTCCAGTAATTAATAATACTTTGCTAATGCTTTTCCTCCTTCAATTTTATATTTATAGGCTGAATGAAATAATTAACGCGAATGAAATGATTTGAGAATGCTGTGTAGTGGGAAATAAGTATTATATTTTTTAATTTTATTAATCTGTCTTGCCGATTTTAATTCCAGTGTTCTTTACATTCACGAACTGCAAGAATAATTTAACGTGAGTAGAATTATTTGAAAATTATATAGTAAATTAGTATTTATGTTCTTGGTTTGAGAGCTCAAAGTTATTAATTTTAACTCTGTTGATTAATAATGGCCTTTATACAGCATTCGTAGGCTGAACGAAATGTTAATGAGAATGAATTATTGAAGGGTACTATGTAATAGTGGATAGGTATTTATATTCTTGACTTTACGAACCTGTTTTGCCGATTTTAATTCCAGTGATCTTTATATTAACACGATTAGAGTTATTGGAAAAGTATTATATCGATTATATAGTGGTGAATCAGCATTTATGTTCTTGGTTTGAAAGTTCAAGCTGTTATTTTAGCTTTGACAATTAATAATGATCTTATATTCGTAGGCTGAACGAGATTAGAGATGCAGGTGAATCGTGCCGTAATTATATTGAATAATTATAAAAAGCTATGGCATATTTGCCGCAACTTTTTGTAATTATATAAGAGTGGTGATATTTACAACTTTATGTTGTTACTTGTTATAATAACCCTAAATTTTTTCTTTTGGGTGACCAGCATTATTTAATATAGTTACGGCATCATTGGGACGATTCACTTGCACCCCTAAACGAGATGAAATGGTTGAAAGGCACTATATAATGGATAAACATTTATATTCCTGATTTGCGAACCTGTTTTGCTGGTTTTGATTCCAGTGATCTTTATATTAACGCGAGTAGAATTATTTGAAGAGTATTTTGTAGAGGTAAATTAGCATTATGTTCTTTGAGAGTTTATTAATTTTAACTTTGCCAATTAATAATGATTATATTTGTAGGCTAAACGAAATGATTAACGAATGGTTGAGGGGTACTATGTAATTGTGAATAAGTATTCGGGTCTTTGCCTTGAAAATGATCTTACGGGACTATGTAGATTTTATGATAAAAATTAAAATTTCTGGCCATCTTATAATCTAATTCAAATAATTTTTTTATTATTATTTTGTAAACTCATTAAGCTTTATAAAATAAAAGAAAGTTTATTTGAATTGGATTGCTGGATAGCTAGTAATTTTAATTTCATAAAATTTACATTCATTTTCAAGGCAAAGACCCCATTTATCTGTTATGCTGATTTGTGAGCCTGTTTTGCTGATTTTAATTCGAGAGATCTTTTGTATTCATGAACTAAACGAATGATTGATGAGTGAAATTATTTGAAGGGTATTATATAATAGTAAATTAGTAATTATGTTTTTATTTAAACTTGTTTGTTAATTTTAACTTTGCTGATTAATGGTGATCTTTATATTTGCATGCTGAACGAAATGAAATAGTCGAAGAGTACTATGTAATAGTAAGTATTTATGTTTTTGATTACTTATATGCTGAAAAGATGATGATGTGAATGAAACAATTGAATTATGCTAAGTATTGATTTGTTTGATATATGGACGGATTAAAATTTAAATAAGGTTAAGATTAGGAATAGTGTTTGAAAAATGGTTAACGCTAAGGATAAGATTAGAATGAGTGCTTTTAGGGTTAAGGCTAGGGATAATATTAGGAATCGGGTTAGAATAGAGACTTAGGAATCGGGTTAGTAATAATATTTTGGTTAGAAATAGAATTAGCATTAGGAATCGGGTTAATAATAGTACTGTACTTTGGTTAGAAATATAATTAGTATTAGGGATCGGTTAGTAATAGTACTTTGGTTAGAAATAGAATTAGCATTAGGGATCGGGTTAATAGTGGCTCTTTGGTTAGAAATAGAATTAGCATTAGGGATCGGGTTAATAGTGGCTCTTTGGTTAGAAATAGAATTAGCATTGGGATTGGGTACTTTGATTAGAATAGAATTAGCATTAAGAATCGGGTTAGTAATAGTACTTTGGTTAGAATTAGAATTAGCATTAAGAACCGGGTTAGTAATAGTACTTTGGTTAGAAATAGAATTAGCATTAAGAATTGGGTTAGTAATAGTACTTTGGTTAGAAATAGAATTAATATTAGGGATTGGGTACTTTGATTAGAAATAGTTTAGCATTAAGAATCGGGTTAGTAATAGTACTTTGAATTAGCATTAGAGATTGGGTATTTTGGTTAAAAATAGAATTAGTGATCGGATTAGTAATGGTACTTTGGTTAAAATAGAATTAGTTTAGTAATAATACTTTGATTAGAAATAGAATTAGCATTAGAGATCGGTTAGTATACTGATATGAATAGTGTTAGTGTTTATTTTAGGTTAGAAAAATAAAATATATTAACTGTTAATATTAATTACCAATATTATATTTTATATAAATTATATAATGTATGTATATATATATAATATCTAAAAACATTAATAATAAAAGTAAATAAAAACAAAAAATTAATTATAAAATTTTGATGCTCCAGACTCACACCGGTTTCCGGTTCCTAGTTTATTTATACAATCAATTGTAACTTTTATTAGTAAAAATTGTCAGCTATATAAAATTTTTTTTTTGTAATATGTGACAAAACAACAAACTTAAATGACCTATTTTTCACCTTTAAACCTACTGTAAAATAGGGATGTTAGAAGTCCAGGCTGGTCCAGTCCAACTCCATGAGTCGAGTTTTAATCTAGACTCGGTCCCGAGGCAGACTTGGGACTGAGTTCCAGTAATCTTAACGCCTGTAGATCACCCACAAAAAATTTTACCCCCTACATGATCACACTTTGATTGGCATTCACTTTTAATGAACGTCTTAATGCTAATATTAACAGTAATATGAACGTTAATATGAACGTTCGCCTTAACGTTAATATTAACATTAATGTAAATGTTTGTCTTAATAGTGTTACAGAGTAGTAGCCTTCTTAATTTACTCTATAACGACGACACAGCACAGGGAATCCTTTCGTAGGTATATGCG